TTTTTTACAAATTTATTTGTTAAAGATGAATTGTGTAATGAAATTTCATTACATCAAAGTATATTTTTTTTCATTTGAATTGCACAGCAACTACATTGAAACTATAAATATGCACTAAAATATTAATAAAAATTCAATACAATTATAGAGAAAATAACTTTAGTTTTCATGCTTTCAATCAAAGAGCATATTTCATGAAACACAAGCAGAACAAATGTGTTTAAACACTCATAAATCTACTGCAAACAAAATAATTTTGTGAATAATTTACAAAGAAATTTGCTCTTGTAAACCACCCAATTAGTCAAGAAGTTACAAAAACAGTTTATTATTTACATTTATGCATTTAGCAGACACTTTTAACCAAAGCAATTCAAAAACAGTGATCTAAACTGAAATGAATAAATATGCACAAATAAGCGTTCAGTCAAAACTGAGACACGTTGCATACCTTTGCTATTGTTGTTGTTGAGTTAAACTGAGCTATAATAACAAAGCGTGGAAGTTAAGGCCCAGGGGACCCAAAATATAGTCGCCTGTGATGACAATGGCTCTGATGGATGCCGTCTCTGTCCCGCAGCAAGCGAGGAAACCGTACGACGTGCGGGACGTGATCGAGCAGTATTCGCAAGGCCACCTGAACATGATGGTCCGCATCAAAGAGCTCCAGAGAAGGTGAGACTCCTTCCCACAAAACCAATGGCGTGGGCGGGATTTCCAAACAATCGCTGTGCATTTCATAGTTTCCTGCTGTTTTTCCTCTCGCAGGTTGGATAACACGTTGGGAAAACCGGGAATATTCCTGCCAGGTAAAGGAAAACTGAGTTTTTAAATATTCCCACATCAAATACACATTCTCAATGCACGAATAAAACAAAAAATAAGCACAAAATCATATTGAAATGCTTCCGTGATCTATTATACTCGCTTGTTTAATAAAAGAGTTTAATGTACTGTCTAACAATAAACCCAGACTGTTAATTGAAACTAAACTGCAAACATGGAAACACAAGCAAATACAGAAACTATTGTGATTATGACATCACATACATCTCATTAACATCTCATTACAGCAACTTTACCCACTTTGAACATAACTTATGTCGCTATACAGATGTTAGCCAATCACAGGTCTTTTACATATTAAATGACCTAATAATAATGGAAATACATGCAAATACAGAAGCCATCATAATTATGACTTCACATCCATCTCATTACCATGCAATAATTCAATACAGCAACTTTACCCACTTTGAACATAACTTATGTCGCTATACAGATGTTAGCCAATCAGAGGTCTTTTACATATTAACCCCTTAACTGTCACCCCTCATTTTTTTAAATAGGCATGCAGGTGCACTATCCAAACTTAAATTGTTGTAATTTAAGAAGAAAATCCGCAGATTATCGCAAAAGTGGAATGTTTTCAAAAAATTAAAGTATCAAAAAGTTATGGTAGTTTAAATTTACTGTAAAGAAAATGCACTATATTAATTTTATTTTATTTTATATATAATAAATATTTCACATAACAGGTTTTACTCTAAAATTGGTATAAAATCAACGCCTTATGTCTAAATAAGTTATGTTCCAAATTTGAAGTTGATATGAAAAAAATTGAGGTTCCTGTGAGATTTTATTTAGGGCGTTATACCACAAACAGCCACCGGGTGCTATCCAAACTATCTCAAAATAACCACCAAATATGGAATCCTGAGACTCAGACCTTTCCAATTATATGTTTTTTGTCAAGATTATAAAAAGGTTTGTTTCTAAAAGGCCGTAATGCATTTTGTAATATGACACTTGACACTGCCCACTAAGGGGGAGGAGACCGCCAAAAGAATTTAAAGTTCCATTTCCATGGTAACGCAATGTCCGATTGGAAATACATGCAAATACAGAAACCATCATATTTATGACTTCACATCCATCTCATTACCATGCAATAATTCAGTACAGCAACTTTACCCACTTTGAACATAATTTATGTCACTATGCAGATGTTAGCCAATCAGAGGCCACTTATATATTAAATGACCCCTGATTGGCTAATAGAATACATACATGCAAATACAAACATCACATCCATTACATTAACACACAAACCTCCCTTATTTACATATAATGAATAATTATGAATAATTCAGCAGCTTGAAAAGACCAAGATGGATAGAGAAGATGTGTTTGTGAATAAGCGGTCGGTGTACATTTAACAGAAACTGAGGAGATTGTTAACAGGGATGCAAACTAGACAACTTTCGCAGAACATCACCATTTTCTCATTTGTGCGATTCCAGTAGATCCGATGAGTTTTTGAGAACTCTTGATACTTAATTCTTCAGTACAAAACAGTGCTGAGGTTTGACAAAAAGTGATTTTATAATGTCTAAATATAAATCCAAATTGGCAACTAAGCCCATGAGTGATCTGGTTATAGTGGTAATATCATTTTCAATTTAAAAGTGTTTGTTTTCCACCAGATGGCAGAAATCTTCCACTTAAGCACATTTTCAATTAATTATCTGCAAGAATAAAAAAAAAAAAAAAAATGCAGCTTTTAAAAAAAAGTGAATTTAACATATAATATTACTATTTTATATGAAAACATATTAAAAAATAATAATTTTGAGACAAATAAATTATTATAAAAATATGATAAATCCCTCCAAAACAGCGTAACTAAAAAGTGAGCATTATCACATGTGTTGTTTGAAATAATAATTAGAAGAAGAAAAAAAACACACCTTTTTTCACCCCTGCTGAGTTTACAACTTTCCAAGCTCAAGCTAGTCACCAGGCTTTTGTTTGGGCAAATGTGCAGTTGTGCCCTGCTCCCATATTTACATATAACTAATAATTCAATATACAGCATACTTTACCCACTGAAAATAATTTACACAGATGTTAGATGCCAATCAGAGGTCATTTACATATTAAAGTCTTGAAGATACAGTAGCAAAAACTACCTGCTTAAGTATAAGGATGGAAAATAGAAAATAGATTGAAAAAGTGAATTGTGATACGATAAGACTGTGAAGAATATGAAAAATTATATTTGAAAAAAAAAATTTAAATATGAAAAAAATTGATATACAGTATGACTTATATATTGAAGTTTTACCTTATACTTGAAGAAAATGAAAGAAGCCTTTTATATGAGCAGGGTGTTTCAATAAAACTACCTGCTTAAGTATAAGGATGGAAAATAGAAAATAGATTGAAAAAGCGAATTGTGATAGGATAAGACTGTAAAGAATATGATCCTTTTAAAATTGTTATACAGTATGACTTACAGTATATATTGAAGTTTTGCCTTATACTTTCTTTTAATTAAAGAAACCCTATTAACATCAGCTTTTGACTTCTACATACAGAAAATAATTACTTCTGACTGTCTTATTATTTCTCTTTGTTGTGATTTTAGAGAAAGGTGTGGATAAGGAATATTATACGGTGGGAGCCCGACTCATCCGATTGGAAGATAAGGTACAATATAGACTTTTTAGCCTGAATTTGTCACCAGAATGTGACTTTCTATAACCGTTAGTTCATTCTACTGAGCGAGCGATCTCAGAGAGTGCTGAGATTTCACATATTATCATAAACAACAAGCCTCAGTTAACTCTTTCTCTGTCTTACTCACTCACTGATGGTGTCTGGGTCCTCTGGTTGAAAGCGTAATCTGCTCGTGTGTTTGTGGAGGAAGCCGGACTTTGATTGCGAGTGAGATTTGAGGATTTTCAGAGATAATGTGATGGCAAATCTGTAAAATCAATCTCAGCAGATGCTCTGAAGCTTGAATGTCTGAGTCTCTCTGGTGCTGTTACAGCAGATCATGGACGGTCTTTATCACAGAATAAACCCAGACAGGACGATCACGTATCAAGCTTATTATGCAGCAGCTTAAATAAATGCACATAAAATAACTGGGTAATAAGCATAAAAAAAGTTAATTTGCTAAAAACAGGGCCATGAGCACAGAAAGGCACTAGCATGTGTTTTTTTTCTCCCCCCGTGTGTCTGTTGTTGAGAGACGGACTGTATTTAGTATTTAGACTGAGTCATGCTGCCGTTACTAGGTGGGTCTCTACTGTCTGGCTCTTCATTAGGGCACCTGTGATGAATCTCAATCACTGAGTAGCCTCTTATAGTTTCATACATTCACAACCATATGCATAATAACATACGACAGCCACCAATTCAGTCAGAGCTGGAAAGTTTGAGCTGTTATTGAAGGATAGCGGTTCAAAACCCGACTAGACAGCATGTGTGTTGTTCATTTCACATTTAAACAGGCATTTATATAGACATCTTAAAGGGACAGCAGCACAAAAAATGCCTGTTTCACTATGTGTTGTACTATGTGTTCCTGTGGCTCAGTGGTAGAGCATTGTGTTAGCAGCACAAAAGGTCGTGGGTTCAATTCCTAGGGAACACACATACTGTAAAAAAAATGTATAGCCTGAATGCACTGTAAGTCGCTTTGGATAAAAGCGTCTGCTAAATGCATAAATGTAAATGTACTTCAGTTTGGCGAAGCTGTCAGAGGAAGTGTAGAGATGTGATCTCGATCGCTGCAGTTTGATGTTCTGCCTGCAGAGGAAGTAAAATGAGAGTGATAGGGAGCGAGAGAGAGAGACTTGTCGTGGCAAGCCGATGGTGGTTTTCGCTCGATTGACGCCGGAGGGTAACAGGTGGGTGAACTGAGTGACCCGCACACATCTGGATCTGGACCTCTCGCTGGAGTAATACACACAAGATACTACAACAAGCCTAGTGTGTCGCATGTGTCTCCACTAGACTTTCAGAAGGATCTCACACTGCATTTGGATTATAGTCTGAGATCTCAATATGAACTCGTTTAATGCCACGTTCTTCCAAGATGGCAACTATTAAATCATTTGTTTTTGTTTATATCATTTATTTCTCCTCATAAATTTTAGAAGTTGATGTTTAAATACACCTGAGAACACCATGAATTCTCCTGAGCAACATCTGAGCAAAATAAAATAAAATTCTACTTCGATATACTGAAAGAATTCACAGTCGTGATAATATCTTCAAATTATTTTAATAATAATATATAAATATATATTTATTTATTTTTTTTAAATTTTTTTTAATATGTCTAAATAAATGTCAGTTTGATAAAAGTCTGATAAAATTTTATTTGAAGACCTCATGTCTTGATAATCTCTCCAGCAGTAAAACACGATGAATATTAACACGCTTGAACAGCTATAAATCTCACTCTCTTCTCTCTTCGTCGGTCTTTATTTTGGCGCTGTCATTAGCATGGAAACATTGCTCTTCCTCTATGGCGAGCGTTTCGAGGTATGTTGTCTGACTGGCAGCTCGGTGAGTAAGTTGTGGTTAATGTGTCAGAGTTTTGCACGGCCGACATTGATTTATGCTCCTTGACAAAGACACGCATGGCAACAAACGGCGTGTGACACGCAGCTCTCTGAGCTCCGGTCCTCATGAAGATGGATGAGTAGCCTTGACGCTGCATGTTATCTCACTGTCTGCCGTCCCACTGAAAAATGCTTCAAGAATAACAAGCCTGAGTTTGGGGTTGACTCCTCCAGAGGGGCTGGAAATGGCTTTTCAATGAGCTTAAGAAAGTACGTATGGCCTCCACTGAATATTGAACAGCCGTGCGTTTTCATCAGCCACAGAAGATGCTCTTTTATACTTTGTGAGGCTTGAAATGTTTTTAAAAACAAGAAAAAATAACTGAACATCCTTAAGACATGATCGATTTTATTGAAGGCTATCAAGACATGTTTTCAGACAAAATGTCTATTATTTTTCTATCGATGAATTGTCTTTTAGTTGTTGTTTTAGACTGATCTCACTTAAATGTAGTAAGATTTATGTTTAAAACAAGAAAAATAATACCAATAATCTCAACAATAAAGACATTTACAAAAGCTTTCTGTTTCAGCTAAATGCCGTTCTTTTGAACTTTCTACAGCGTCTATAGAAAAGAATCAGCCCCCTCTAAAAAAATCACATTGTGTTGCTTTGCAGCCTGAAATGAAGACGGACACAGTTTTTGTTTTATCCAGCTGTGTTTACTTATATCATAAACTTATAACATTGAGAAGGTGATCAGCTGCACCTGATTGAGTTTACAAGTCATTTTTAGGAGGGGGTGATGCTTTTTCCAACTCAGTGATTGTGTTTTTTTATTTGTTTTTATTTTTTCTGATATGTTGGTGTTATATCTTTCACTTGGATGTTATAAGATGCACTGAGTAAATACAGCTGGATATACTACAAGTTACAAGTTGTTTGAACTGAAATGTGTGTTGGCAGTGTGCGTACACAACCAGCCTATAATGATAAAAATCCACCAGGTGTTTTTTTTTAATCTGCTCAAATCTTTACCCCTTTCTCAAATCGAGCCGATCTCATATGCCTGTCTGTGTGACATCACAAAAACAGGCCCCTCC